CCCGAAGCCAAGCTAACCAAGAACCACAATAGAACATCGAGCTGATGTTCCCCATTTCCCTCGCCACCCACCCACTCCACCAGGCCGTACCATTCTGCCCACACCTTGGTGTACTTCCGCCAGCTGGAGGGGGCCAACGAGCCATCCTTGCAACAATCGGTCCAGAGCCGCCACACAATCTCTGTACAGGGGTATCCTTCCGCATCCGCATCCGCATCCGCATCCGCATCTGCGTTCCGCCACCCAAAAACACTTCCACTGTAGGCGAGAGAGAGAATCCACTATTACATTCAGATAGCCTGGAACATGTTGTGTCCAAAACGAGACACAATAGGATGAAATAATTCAGCAGACGCACCACCACCGGCGATGCAGCGGAAACGTTGTTGACTGAGTGTACGACTGCCAGGTTGTCCGAATAGAAGAGCACGCAGCAATTCCTCATGTCCAAACCCCATAATAAGAGCACCACCACCAAGGGAAACAGTTCCAGGAAAGCACACCGTTTCCCTTTAAAAAATGCCCCAAACCCCCACACTGCCGACGCATCAGTATATAGCTCCAACCCAGCGGCCAGGACCACCGTCTACTGAAAAAAGGCCTTCCCACTGAACTTCCTCACGAAAACACAAGCAAATCCGCTCTAATGGCCCGTGACACCCTCAGGAAGTGATGACCTTACTGGATGCCCGCCGTGGCCCTAGAGAGGGACCGCAAGAAGACCTTACCATCCGGGATAATCCAGCAGGCGAAACTGAGTCTCCAAATCAGAGACTGCATCTGCCAAAGTATGACCTTCTTGGCCCGCACCACCCCTACCAGCACCTCCCTCAAGACCCACAACATATCTGCCAGCAATCTGTACAACCCTTGCACTGTATCGATCTCCAAACCCAAATTCTGAGGCAAGATGTCAGGCCCTCTGTCTTCTTCTCTGCCAACGGGACCACAAAGATTGAGCCACCTACTGTATTGTCTGCAGGACATGCAAACAATTCCCGAAGAAATGCAAACTTACACACAAGAAATCGTCCAGGTAATGTACCAGGAAGTTGCACCCGGACTCTACCCTCACCACCCATTCCAGGAAAGTGCTGAACTTCTCAAAATAGGTGCAGATTATTGTGCATCACATTAGTAAACATAGATCAACATAGAACTCCCCTTCAAACCAGCACCTGAGGAGGTGGTGGCACTCTGGATGGACCAGGAGCAACCGAAAAGCTGCCTCACTATCCACCTTGGCCAACAGCGCCCCTGGCCCTGCCTCCCTAACCACGTCCACTGTTCTATCGAACAACATGAAGGAGACAGAACAGAGCTCCCGATCAATGTCCGCATTAACTGAAAGACCCTTGGGGTAAGACAAGTGGTGTATTAAGCAAAACTTGTCTCTTTCCATCCTTGGGACGACCCCTATTGGCGAAACTCTTAGATTGGGCAATGGAACGGAGGCAAATGGCCCCACCATGTGCCCCAAACCCAACTCCCCCTTCAACTTGTCCCGCACAAACTCCAGAAATGTGGCCACTGACTGAATGTTTTTTAAGGATACCACCGAATCCTGCAGAATAAATGGAATCCTAAACCCCACCTTAAAACTCTGATCCAGAAACTCAGCGTCACCCTTCCTACCATAGCGGCTTAGTCACGGCAGCATATTTTCTCTGCTCACCGGCGTTCTCTCCTTATGTCCCCAACTGCCCCACCAACCTGCTTGTCTTTCCCCGTTTGAAACACTTAGAAAGTGTTGATTCTGAGAGATCCAGTAGGTGTTCCCTATTTTAATGTCATTGAGCTGGAACTTCTCAGGACTTCCAAATTCAACTTTATCTTTAAGGCCTCCCACAATAGGCCAGGGCCATCATAACACTCACCTTCTGGAGGGTCATCATATGCTAAAAGTCAGTAAAGCCCGGTACGAATCACCCCGGTACGAATCATCCTTGTGGACCCACTCCTCTAATTTGAACACACATTCCGCCAGTGGCTGCTCACGCAAGAATTGCATCCGCAAATCAACTTTATTCCCAAAATCGTTGCATAATGGTTGGGAGCGGTTCTTTCCGGAAATAACAAAGCTCCTCAAGGACATTGTTCCAGCGTTCCCATCTGTAATGGTATTTATTAATTAATGACTTTTTGTCATAAAAAAAAGCATAATGAGCTTAATGCTTTAGACGCACCACTAGATGTCAGTAAAGCATATTTAGTGTAATGCTTTGGGGGCACCATTAGGGGGAGTGTGTAGGAAGACCTGTGCTTCTGGCAGTGACATCACAGGCCAGCCTACTTACACTGAATAAAAACCCAGATGTGAGGAGAAGCTAGCTCTCTGTTTGCCTGTCCCTGACTGATCATGTAGCACCAGCTCTGACTTAGCCCCAGCCCTTTGGCTGGGGCCTTGTAAGTAATATGTTTGTATTGTAACCGTTAGCAATTGTAATAGCCTTATCAACCAATAATGTTTTGTGTAGTATTGTATTGTATAATTATTGAAATTGACATTCTGCTAGCATCTGTTTATTTATTATAGTTATATTAAATATACATTTAATATTACAACGTTTTGTGTATTTTCTATCCACATATTCGACCATAATACCATGAATTATAAAAATATTAATGTTGTTCCGTATTGCTTAATTATTATGTATTAAGAGATTAATATTCATATTTAGGTCACGACCACAACACCATCTAATCATTACCCGTTGGTCAAGTTAACCAACTGTCATGAAAAAGCCATCATACTGGGACAAAGCTGCATGTAGCCTCCGCTGGAACTCCTCCTCGGATGAGGACACTGCACGGGTGCTAGTTCTGTCCATCTCCATGAATTCCAGAAGGCATGCAGGGGTTTAGAGGTCCTCTCAATGGCTGTGTGAAGTTGCTGGATATTGGCAGGACCTGGAATACGCTGTCATATACGCTGATCCAGAGCATCTCAAATATGCTCAATAGGTGACATGTCCGGTGAGTATGCTGGCCATGCAAAAACTGGGATGTTTTCGTCTTCCAGGAATTCCTTGCAAGATGGGTGTTACGGTTGCCTCCTGGCTGGCTGGAAGTTGGACCATAGAAAGGATGCTCCTAGCGCTCACCAAAGGACCATCAGCACCGTAGACACCATAAGTACTGCGTAGACACCATAAGTACTGCAGACTCAACAAACCACCGCTGCTGGGCTAGGATCTCGCCGTCTGCTATCCGCTCTGGACCTACGACCAGGCTCCAGGCTCCAGTAGGTGAACCTCTTCCTTCTGTAGAGCAAAGCAGGATCAGGAACAAGAGCTCTTACAAGAGCTCAGTAGCTAAGGGAGTATGAAGAGCATAGCAATCCCTGTAGTGATTATAGCTGTCCCCTACAAACATGAGTCAATTCTGCAAGTTAGAGGGTCAAGTCATTCTGTTTATTGGCACACAAAGAACCTTCTATAATGCAGGTTTCCCTGAGATAGGAACACCCACAGGTTTTTACACAACAACCAATAATAAACGTACATTACAGAAACACTCCCAGCAATTACACACAAAAATCCTCCCCTCTGCCTGTGATCTAATTATGGCACACAATGGGTTAACATAATTAAACACAGGCAGTAAAAATACAGTTTTTACCCATACCCTGTAACTTCATACAAATTACATATTTAGAATCAATCCATTCAGGGGAGCAACATATTAAAAAATGGCACAAATCAGACAAGGGGTTCAAAAGTTAGCAAAAGTATATTTTGGGGCCTGGCTGACAGCATGGTTATCTGGCCCAAACCGGTTTTACAGAGCCCTCTATCCAGGAGACAATGGGGAAAATAATCCACTTATATCCAGGGATAGAGGCAGACTCCATTAACCACATGTTAGCAAAAGACACAAAAAGACACAAAAATACATAACTCCTATCATACTGAACAGAACCCCCACATTCAACCTATCCCCAGATGGCTTGGATCTGAGACCTCAATATATCCAAACAGCGCTCAGATCCCACAAATACAGTCAAATCGCCATACACACTAGGTCCATAGTCAGGGGCGGACTGAGAGCCTTTGGGGCCCCCGGGCAAAATTAGATCCCAGGCCCTTTGAAGGCCAAATATATGTGCATTTTAATAAATGTTAAATATAATTCATAATACGGCATTCCTTTGGATGTGTGTATTGTGAAGACCTGTGTATCAATGCATGTTTGTATTTGAGTCTGTGTGAATGCACTTGTGCATGTCTGGATGACTACATGTGCTTTTTTGTATATAGTGTCTGTGTGAATGCATATGTGACAGGTGACAGAGTGTGTGAGGGAGAAGGTGACAGGTGGAAGAGTGTGGGAGGTTGTGACAGGTGGCAGAGTGAGGGGGTACCTGGTGGCAGAGTGAGGGAGGGGTTGAGTGGTGGCAGAGTGATGGGGAGACACAGTGAGTGGGGGTGACTGGTGACAGAGTGAGGGAGTGGGTGACTAGTGACAGAGGGAAGGAGAGGGGGAGACTAGTGACAGAGGGAGGGAATGGGAGACTAGTGACAGAGGGAGGGAATGGGAGACTAGTGACAGAGTGAGGGAATGGGTGACTAGTGGCAGAGTGAGGGAGGGAAGGGGTGACTAGTGACAGAGCGAGGGGATGACTGGTGACAGAGTGAGGGGGGGGTGACTGTCACTAGTCACCCCATCCCTCTTTCTGTCACTAGTTACTCCCTCCCTAACTCTGTCACTGTGTCACCCGCTCCCTTCCTCTGTCACTAGTCACCCCCTCCCTCACTCTGTCACTAATCACCCCCTCTCTCCCTAGTCACCCCCTTCCTCACTCTGTCACTAGTCACCCCATCCTTCTCTCTGTCACTAGTCACCCCATCCCTCTCTCTGTCACTAGTCACTCCCTCCCTAACACTGTCATTGTGAAGGAAGGAAGAGGTGACTGGTGACAGAGTGAGGGAAGGGATGACTAGTGGCAGAGTGAGGGAAGGAAGGGATGACTGGTGACAGAGTGAGAGAGGGGGTGACTAATGACAGAGTGAGAGAGGGGGTGACTAGTGACAGAGTGAGAGAGGGGGTGACTGTCACTAGTCACCCCATTCCTCTCTCTGTCACTAGTCACTCCCTCCCTAACTCTGTCACTGTGTCACCCCGTCCCTCACTCTGTCACTAGTCACCCCCTCTCTCACTATGTCACTAGTCACCCCCTCCCTCACTATGTCACCCCCTTCCTCACTCTGTCACTAGTCACCCCCTCCCTCTCTCTGTCACTAGTCACCCCCTCCCTCACTCTGTCACTAAGGACAGAGGGGTGATTAGTGACAGAGTGAGGGAGGGGGTAACACAGTGACAGAGTTAGGAGGGAGTGATTAGTGACAGAGAGAGGGATGGGGTGACTAGTGACAGTCACCCCCTCCCTCACTTTGTCACTAGTCACCCCCTTCCCTCTCTCTGTCACTCCCTCACTCTGTCACTAGTGTGAGGGGGTTACTAGTGACAGAGTGAGGGAAGGGGTGACTAGTGGCAGAGTGAGGGAAGGAAGGGGTGACTAGTGACAGAGTGAGGGAGGTGGTGACTGTTACTAGTCACCACCTCCCTCTGTCACTACTCCCTCCCTCCTTCTGTCACTACTCCCTCCCTCCTTCTGTCACTACTCCCTCCCTTCTTCTGTCACTAGTCACCCCCTCCCTCACTCTGTCACCAGTCATCCCCTCCCTCACTCTGTCACCAGTCATCCCCTTCCCTCACTCTGTCACCCCCTCACTCTAGTGACAGAGTGAGGGAGGGGGTGACTAGTGACAGAGTGAGAGAGAGGGTGACTAGTGACAGAGTGAGAGAGAGGGTGACTAGTGACAGAGTGAGGAAGGGGGTGACACAGTGACAGAGTGAGGGAGGGGGTGACTAGTGACAGAGTGAAGGAGGTGGTGACTGTCACTAGTCACCCCCTCCCTCTCTCTGTCACTAGTGACACCCTCCCTCACTCTGTCACTAGTGACACCCTCCCTCACTCTGTCACTAGTGACACCCTCCCTCACTCTGTCACTAGTGACACCCTCCCTCACTCTGTCACTAGTCACCCCCTCCCTCTCTCTGTCACTAGTCACACCCTCCCTCTCTCTGTCACTAGTCACCCCCTCCCTCTCTCTGTCACTAGAGTGAGGGGGTGACTATTGACAGAGTGAGGGGGGTGACTAGTGACAGAGTGAGGGGGGTGACTAGTGACAGAGTGAGGGATGGAGTGGGTGACCAGTGACAGAGGGAGGGGGTGACACAGTGAGGGAGGTGGTGACTAGTGACAGAGTGAGGGAGGTGGTGACTGTCACTAGTCACCACCTCCCTCCCTCTGTCCCTAGTCACCCCTCCCTCTGCCACTAGTCACCCCCTTCCTCACTCTGTCACTAGTCACCCCTTCCCTCCCTAACGCTGTCAACTAGTCACCACTTCCCTCCCTCACTCTGTCACTAGTCACACCCTCCCTCACTGTCACTAGAGTGAGGGGGTGACTAGTGACAGAGTGAGGGAGGTGGTGAATGTCATTAGTCACCACCTCCCTCTGTCACTACTCCATCCCTCCTTCTGTCACTAGTCACCCCCTAACTCACTCTGTCACCAGTCATCCCCTCACTCTAGTGACAGAGTGAGGGAGGGTGTGAGTAGTGACAGAGTGAGGGAGAGGGTGACTAGTGACAGAGAGGGGGGGTGACTGGTGACAGTGAGGGGGGGTGACTGGTGACAGTGGGGGGGGGGTGACTGGTGACAGTGGGGGGGTGACTGG